AAAAAAAAAAAAAAAAAAAAAAAAAAAAAAAAAAAAAGAAGTAGCAAAATCAGAGAAGTTAACAGTTTAAGGATCCCTTGAAAGCAACTTAAAACTTGGTAATCTTTAGCTTATATTTAGAATTTTCTGCGGTTCTAGTCTGTACACTCATTATATTAATAAAACCTACCACAGTGACAACAATTATTTATCCTATACCAAATCTAGGTACCAGGTACTACATTTATGCTTTGATCGTATTGTCTCATTTAAAGCTTTCAATATCACAATGTGGTAGGTGTTAATAACCTAATTTTACAGAGCAGAAAACTGTGGCTTAGAGGGTCAGTAACTTGGACAAGGTCATACAGCTGGTTGTTATATTTTACCATTTGAAGTGCATATTTTCACACTTTCATATATCTGAAATTGATATTTGTGTTACAGTTGAGGCCATCTTAAGATCACTAGTGCCAGGTAGCTGTCGTGACACGTTTGCTATTGTTTATGTCCATGTGAGCATCTAAAGCACCAGCAACAAGATGTACAGAATGGGTGCCAGAGTGTCTTTTAACACTAGGGAGTCAAATGGTAGTTGGGTGACGGAGTGCATGTGGTGGTAAGTCAGATGTGCTTGGCAACATTCTTGAAGGAGGTATTGAGTATGAGGGTAGGCTAGTTTCGTACAAACGCATGTTGGCTCAAGTACCTAGCACCAACAGCTTTACTTCCTTTACAGATCCATTTAATGGTGTATTATTAATATTCTAATGACACAGAGGACATTATCATATAGAGAAAACATGGACACTGACAATTCTGAGTTGCAAAGTGATTAAGAAATTTGAACCTGGAATTGAAGATTGTTTAGAAAGACTTTAAACCATTTATTCTATTTATACTTTCTGTTTTCTTTGGCTGCACATGAATGATATATATTAATAATAAAATTTGACATCTAATTAAGTCTGAAAGTCCTCTTTCTTTAAGAATTAAATGGTAAGAAAGTATTGCATAAGGGCTGAATTGGAAGTATTGTTTCTTCCTTATTGGTACATGAAATAATGGTTCATCTGATGACTACCTGGTGGCATCGGTAGGGATATGGAGAGTTGCTGAGCTGGAATTACAACCTGAACTTCTCCAACTGTCGAGTCCAGCTGCTAACTAGCGTGGTTTCCTACCTCATTAAGTGGACACAGTACTGTATGAAGCCAACAGTTTTGGACTTTGGGTGCACAATTCTGTGGTTTAGACCCCAGGCCAAATATCCTATGAGAAACACTGAAACAGGAAAAAAATTCTTGCTTTCCATACCTTTCTTCTCCTCAGCACCTGCATCTGATTTGAGGGTGTGGCTACTACTGTGGAGGGAATCTTTTGAGTCTTCATTTTCATCCAGGACCCCAGCAAAGCTGATCTTCCTCTCATATCTGTGCCGGTCCAACTCAGGATCCAAACGAAGTCTGCAGCTCTCTAAGTCCTGCAATGTTAGTGAGGAGTACATGAATGCTGGCATCTCCTCAGCGCTGCATTGGTCTTGTGGTAAACCTCCCTCCATTTTGAATTGCACACAGCTGAATTTGCACAGAGCCAAATTCTTCTTTATCTAATGCCAATTTCAGGTTGTGGCCAATAAACATATTTCTTGAATTAAAAAAAAAAAAAACTTCTCTAACTCATAGTTTTTCCCTTTTCTTCATACTTTATCTTCAAAAAGCACAGACCTTGTTCCAAATCTAGAATTAGCTTGCTCCCCTTCTAACACTTTGTCCACAGTTTAGCCTACATCTTTGACATTCATGTGTTTATTAAATGATTATACACTGAGTGTACTGAATATGAATGTATTATGTACTGGGGGATAAATAAGAAATGGTTCTTGCCCTAAACGAACTCAAAATCCTGAGACAGAGACTCAGAAGGGAAACAAAAGATAAATTCCTAGACTGAGAGAGTGAGTAGGAACTTAGAAATCAGATTTGGAGGAGAATAATGGACCCCCACGTATGTCTATGCCTTAATCCTTGGAAGAGGTAAATATGTTACCTTACATTGCAATAGGAACTTTGTGCATGCTGATTTAGGTTAGAGATCTTGAGATGGGAAATTATCCTGAATTAGCTAAGCGGGCTTGGCCTAATCACACAAATCCTTAAAAGCAGAAAGCTTTTCCAGACTGTGGTCAAAGGAGAATATAACTACGGAAGAAGAGTGAGAGAGATGCCAAATTACTGGCTTTGAAGATGGAAAAAAGGACCATGACCCAAGCAATGTGAGTTGCCCAAGAAGATGGAAAAAAGGCAAGGAAAGAGTCTTCTCTAGAGTCCCAGAAAAGAGTGCACCTTTTTTAACACCTTGACTCTAGCCCAGTAAGACCTGTGTGAGTCTTCTGATTTCTAGAAATGTAAGATACAATGTTTACACTTTTTTAAGTAGCTAAATTTCTACAGAAATAGAAAATGAATACAGAGGTGATGTTGGAGTTTTGTCCTGAGGACTTAAAGTTGGCTCAGCAAACAAATGGAAAAAGGCATTTCAGGCTTAAGAAATCTCATATGTGAGGGCCAGAGTCTCAAAATACTATCAGGCATTAGAGATATTTCTCACTCTCTTCTAGAAGGACCTCAGGATTAGAGGGGTTCCATGACTATCTGCTTGTGAACAGAGTGAGCCGGTAACCTAAAGTAAGCCTTGGGGAGGGAAAATATTTTGTAGGAGCTTGGTCAATGAAGCCCCCAATTGAAAATTTGACCTGTTCTGTGAATGGAGGCTTATTCAACCAGAAGATCATATTTAATTGTTAGCTGTAAAACACTCTTGGAGGAGTTAATAAAGGAAAACTATATAAAATGCTAATTTTATTTCTATAGAGCATTTTCCCCCCAAATACGATGTAAGTTCTCAGATTCAACTAGATATGGAAAACAAAAAAATTAAAAAAAAAACTAGTTTGCACCAAAATTAAAATCTAATGATTTTAATTGTTATTAATAAATGAAACTTTAGACTCTACATGTTGTTTCTTCTTTTCCTTTTGATTAAGAACAGAAGTTACATTTCGGTACCTAGAAAATTACATCACATCTAGAAAAATAAAGGAACTACATAGAATCTATTTAGCATTGTCAAAAAATATTCTAGGAATACAATTGCTTCCCTGAAATTAATCCCTTTTAGAAAACAAGTAGAAAACCTAATATATTTTCAATTTTGTTAGCCAAACTTAATTAGATAAATTTCTTACTTGGGACAAAAAGTAATGTAAAAACTCTGATTCTCAAAAGCAGTTCCAATTTCTTCTTTTATCCACTTGTCAAAATCCCATCTATCTTTCAAAGCTACATTCAAATGTGACCTTTTATAGAGATGTTCTTCAGGTCTTTCCAGCCCCTTCTATGGCCAACCATGGCCCTTCTGCCCCCTTTTCATGGCCACTCTTTGTAGCCGGGAAATAATTTTTTATATGTTGGTTCTCCTGTTTCAATATAATTACCTCTGTAACCTCCCTATTCCCTTTCCTGTAACTATCACACCACCTTGTTCATAGTCTTATTCTCAATAAACATCCATCAGTTAGCCTTGGTATATGTGAATTGTGTTTTGCTTCTGATTTTTTAACTTTAGGAACATTTGGAATCCAGCAGTATATTTTTCATAACCCAATTTGTTAAATTCCATCAGCACATTTGGCATAGCCTCTAGCAAAATCTTGCATAAAAGCATCCAATATGTTGCTTTCTCTAATGAATGAGTGTAGACAAGAGACTTCCTTACTGCTTTTTACTTTATTATGGTGGACTCATCTATCCGTTGGAGGAGAATTACTTGTTTTAATTCATGTTGCTTGGCCAGTGGTTATTGGTTTCACTAATTCAGTTGGTAAACATTTGAATAGACCAGCAGTTTTACAAACAAAATCTCTATTCAAAAATGATTTCTTTATTGTTCTCAATATTGTTTGAAAATTAATATTTAGAAAAAATTTGATTATTATGCTATTTTGATTATAAATCTTGTAACAAAGCTATTTTTTCTTTTTCTTTTTTAAAAACATTATTTGTTAGTATGGCTTATGAAACAATGAATAAAAATGCTACCAGAAGCTCTTAAAAAAAACAAAAAAAACCATTATTTAAGTTGTATCTAGGGATCTGAGAAAAAATTAAGTTGGTAAAAACGTATTTTAATAATTTTTAAAAGATTTTGATGTCATTTTGCCTTTTCTTTCACCTCTATGCCCCCACCAATCCAGTGAGTGGCCTCCTGGGATTTCCTGACCCTCTCCAAGAAACAACTGTGGATAAACTAATTAACTTTTATTTTAATTATTTGTACTTCAGATTCTTTTGATTACTCTCCCAACAATTTGGGTATAACTAGGACTTCTTCAAACAGATATTTTGCACGAAAATCCCATCCATCTTAGAAAGGGTCTTACAGGGCGCCTGGGTGGCTCAGTCTGTTATGTGTCCAACTTCAGCTTAGGTCATGATCTGGCGGTTCATGAGTTCAAGCCCCGCGTGGGGCTCTGTGCTGACAGCTCAGAGCCTGGAGGCTGTTTCTGATTCTGTGTCTCCCTCTCTCTCTCTGACCCTCCCCCGTTCATGCTCTGTCTCTCTCTGTCTCAAAAATAAATAAACGTTTAAAAAAAATTAAAAAAAGAAAAAGAAAGGGTCTTATGGAAATTTCTGACAAAAAGACTTTTTTTTCTTTTTTCTTTATTTCTTTTTCTTTTTTTTCTTTTAACTTGCTTTATTTTTAATGTTTTTAAATTTTACATCCAAATTAGTTAGCAGATAATGCAACAATGATTTCAGGAGTAGATTCCTTAGTGTCCCTTACCCATTTAGCCCATCCCCCCTCCCACAACCCCTCAGTTTGTTCTCCATATTTATGAGTCTCTTCTGTTTTGTCCCCCTCCCTGTTTTGATATTATTTTTGTTTCCCCTCCCTTATGTTCATCTGTTTTGTCTCTTAAAGTTTTCATATGAGTGAAGTCATATGATTTTTGTCTTTCTCTGACTGACTAATTTCACTTAGCATAATACCCTTCAGTCCCATCCACATAGTTGCAAATGGCAAGATTTCCTTCTTTTTGATTGCCGGGTAATACTCCATTGTATATATATCCCACATCTTCTTTATCCATTCATCCATTGATGGACATTTGGGCTCTTTCCATACTTTGGCTATTGTTGATAGTGCTGCTATAAACATGGGGGTGCATGTGTCCCTTTGAAACAACACACCTGTATCCCATGGATAAATGCCTAGTAGTGCAATTGCTGGGTTGTAGGGTAGTTCTATTTTTAGTTTTTTGAGGAACCTCCATACTGTTTTCCAGAGTGGCTGCACCAGCTTGCGTTCCCAGAAAAAACTTTTTTTCTTGATAGAAAGTTTATGTCCCTGATTTTCTTCCATTCTCAAGCCTCAGATTCTATAATATCCATAGCATCTCATGTGATTATTTTACTACCTTATACTTTTATTATTTCATATATTAGGGTGGTTGTTTTTTTTACTATTATTAAAAATGTTACTGAATTAAAAAAAATTCTGAAGATCCATAAATACTCTTGCCAGAGGCATTTTGCTAAAATAATATTTTAATTTTATTTAATAATTTAATTTTGATTAATAATTTAATTTTTAACAGCTTCTGTATTGGTAAAACAGTTTTATCATACTGGTTTCCTTATAGTAGGTTGGAAGGTAACTTGAAGGGTGATTTTCTTTTTGTTTACCATCAACTATTGTTAGATTAAACAGGAGAAAAATCTTCTTCCCATTTATTTTATAAAGGTCACATCTCAACATAATACATAAATCTACATTTGACAATGCAAGTCCTAGTGTATTGAATAAAAGATCCCTGAGACCTTGTTCAGGGTGATATAGCAGTGAAAACCTTCCTCTCATTGACTGAATGACCAAAGGATCATTTAGCTTAATTCCTTGCCATTTTCTACTAGTCTGCCAGTTGGTTATACAGTAATTTTTAACAGATCTGGTTGACTTTTTAAAAATGAAACTTGTTATAATGACAAGGGACATTAAACTATAGCTTTGTGGAGTTGAAAGGGAGAACAAAAATAACTGAGTCAGACTTTAAGATTCTTATTTTCAAAAATCACAATGGATCTAAATGGGACCAATAAAAATTTGAAAAATGAAAAGTAGATGTACCACCATGCTTCTATGAAGGCTTCAGTATAATTAGAGTGTTGAAAAAATAACACTAGTAGGCCTTACAGATCACATATTTCATCCCACTTGGCTTCAAACACATGTGCTGGCCTTGATTTGATTTTATAGAGTAGTCTCAATATAATAGTCGAGGTGACATTCAGAAAATTAAAGGCCCAGGTTAATAGGAAATGAAATCAGGTCAGTAAACGTCCCTTTCTGACATTCAGATAATGTAGTTTTGCAGTCCAATACTGGTATGTTTCTGTTGAAAACATACCTTTTACCCATAAATGTTTCCAATGTAAAAATATCCATTTTCTGTTTCCGAGTGTGAGGAAACAGGTCTTCCAGACATTGGAGAACCAGAGGTAGAGGCAGTGCTCAGGGATAATAGCATGGATTCTTTTGTTTTCTCCCAGGGATTGGGGTATGGCCTTGTTCATGCCGAGTCTGGTCAAAAAAGCAGGACTGCTGGTGGAGTGTAAAATTGGCTAATGTAGAAGCACATGGATCGTGTAACAATTTTTCTGGTAGAGTAGTCTAAGTCTTGTGTAAAAAAAAATAAATAAATAAGAGAATTTGTCTGGTTTCTCAGCTCTGGCTGGGCGGTGCCTGTAATAAAAGAACCACTGGAAACTTGGTGCCTATTAGAGGATTAAGAGCCAAGGAAAATCGGCTCTGATGTGTGCCCATCTCACATACTCTGTGAAGACTCCTGGTCCTTGCAGAGTGTTGGTATACTCTGCTAAACAAATCAGGCCCCAGCGGTACAGGAGTATGATGTGTGTGCATGTGGGTATGCGTGTGCACACGTGCATGTGTGTGTGTGTGTGTGTGTGTGTGTGTGTGTGTGTGTGTACAGTCTTCTTCTGCCCATCCAGATCCATAAGAAGTACTGTAGTAATAAAAGTGTACGTTTAGCGATGTCTACGTGCTAAATACTTAAATAAAAATTTTTCCCCATAACTTAAATGAGAAAACTCATTGGAAGCACATTTCTGCAAGGATTTATGAGCAGTTAGATTTTTATGACAGAAAGATTCTGCCAGTGATTTCTGGAGAATGCTGGTCATAAAACTCCTCATAGTTTGCAGAGTAAAGGAACTTAAAGGCTTGTGAAAGAAGATTCAAAATGAAGTCAGCATTGCTAAGACAGTCACTCAAAATAGAGGACAGAGGATATTGAGGAAGTAAGGCCTGTGTATGTGTTCTGTTTTAGTCTCCACAACACCATGAAGTTTTTACTTTTGTCAATTGCCATTTGTCAACTGCAACTCCACCACCTCCTGGTACACACCCTTCTCCTTTGGATTAAAATAGAGATAATGTAACACCTGTTAGCTAAATAGCCAGTCCTGCAGTAGATAGCTTCAACTCAGCCAGCACCAATCATTATGTCTTTTAAAACAAGTTTTGTAACCTTGTGGCTTTTGCCTTTATAAGCCCACTCACGATTCCAGTTTGGAGCACACATTCCATTTCCGTAGACCCTGTGTCTTCCAGATGCAGTCTCTAAGACCTCAAAGGAATGCTTTTGTTGCTTTATAGCCTCTTCTTGTATTAGACATTCCCAGCATAACTGACAGTGATCAGTACAATGTTGGACCCAGTGGTGTTATCTTCAGTGATTTCAAGGTCAATTTCAGAGTTATTACCCTTATTTTTTGTAATAGAAAAAAAGATTTTTTTCTTTTTATATATGAAAATCCCTTGGTTGAATTTTTAAGTTATATGATACATTTGGCCATTGAGCCTTTGAGGAAATTGTGGTTACTCAAAACCTAGCCACATGTCTGGCCTCTCCACGTAACCTGATTATTAACACACATGCTTGACTTACCACCAGAGGCTCAGTGCGTGGTCTGGGCAGGCAAGAAAAGGTTTCTCGAAGGAAGGTGGTAATCTCCAGGAGAAGCTGGCACGCCGCCATCTTCAAGGCAAAGGGGCAGCCACATTTAGAGGGGTTCACAGTACCTATGGAATGAAAGAGTTCCTTCCTAAATAAACAAATCAATAAAACATACACAGAGGCACGGTTTGATGGACAAAGCTACACATGTGTAAAATCAAATTGCAAATGAGAATGTCACCTATACATGTCCAAAATGAAATTGCATATGAGAATGTTACCTATACATGTTCAATTTACCTATTCCTTTTAGCATGATCTATGCATTACCATATACCTCTCTCTTCCTCCATTTTGTAATTCTATAATTAGTATTGTTTAGTATTAAGATATCAATCAATATGAACTAAATTATTTTCCTTAAGACTCATAGCATAACATAACACAGTCCACTAAACTAGAAAGCCTTTTAACAAAAACAGAAATGGAAAGCAGTCTTGCAAGATTTTCACATTGCTAATTTAGCCAGATTTAGACTGCGTACAGGGTAGTGAACTACTTTTGGGACTACACGAATCTCGCCACCTTATTTTGTGAGAGACATGTATCTTGAGGGCAGTGATGTTGCTTCCAATTTAGCCCAGATGTGTTTCTGCAGCATAGACAAGACATACTTGGTCACTTGTATCATACACGTTATACAAATTGGCCTATCATATTAAAGCATAGCTACACTAGAAGTATAAAAATATTCTCTTTTATTCTGAAGAATATCAGTCTTTGGATGAGTAAAATGTTGCCTCCATCATAAATCTAACAATGGATTTTACTATAGAGGCAGATAATGGCCAAGGTGACACCATAGAGATTTTTAAAATTCTTAGGATTGGTTCTCAGATACATGTTGTCACTAATCCTACAGAAATATAGTGATTACTTATCAACATTCAGAAAAGAAGACCAAAGTAATGTCAAGTTCTGCCTCTCATAAAAGAAAGAAAATAGTTATCTATTTGAATCAAGGCATCAAGCAATCACAACTACAGATCAACATTCCTAAATATCTTTCTAAAATATTTCCTGTGTATTAGGCTTTCTTAATTGAATAGCATGTATATATTATGGCTTAGCTGAGAGAGGGTGGAAATGATGTTCTTTCTGAAGATATGTGATTTCCTCATGAAAACCATTACTTTTTCTCCAGAGATAGTATGTGGCTGGAGACACTGCCTCTTGTTAAGAATGGAAGAGACAAAGTCCTCTGGAATTTCTAGATGGATATTTACTGGAGCCATAATTATCTTTTATTTTACTTACTAATTTTTTTAAGTTTATTTATTTATTTTGTGAGAGAGGGAGAGTGCATGTGGGCTAATAGAAGAGGGGCAGATAGAGAGGGAGAAAGAGAATCCCAAGCAGGCTCATGCTATCTGCACAGAGTCTGACACGGGGCTTGATCTCACAAACCATGAGCTCATGACCTGAGACAAGGTCAAGAGTCAGACACTTAATGACTGAGCCACCCAGGTACTCGAGCCATAATTACCTTTTAAGTGGAAGATGAGCTATGTACTGACAAGAAAGCAGAACTAAACCAGACATTTCAATCTTCTCTTCATGGAGGCTACATAAGCCTAGACTAAATTGTTTGGATGTGCAATAGTTTTTAAGAAATGATCAGGGGCGCCTGGGTGGCGCAGTCGGTTAAGCGTCCGACTTCAGCCAGGTCACAGTCTCACGGTCCGTGAGTTCGAGCCCCGATGGGCTCTGGGCTGATGGCTTGGAGCCAGGAGCCTGTTTCCAATTCTGTGTCTCCCTCTCTCTCTGCCCCTCCCCCGTTCATGCTCTGTCTCTCTCTGTCCCAAAAATAAATAAAAACGTTGAAAAAAAAAATTAAAAAAAAAAAAAAAAAGAAATGATCAAACACTACATATTCAGTATAAACTTCTGGATCTTGTCCTGAGATTATCATCCAGATTCTCCTTGTCAATCCTGTAAACAGTGAACTTGGTCTTAGTCCAGGCTCTCTTGCAACTATCATCTGAAATGTTTTGTTAAAATGAACAATGATTGAGTCCTACATGCTCTCATCAAAAACCCAAGTACCAGGCATAACATATTGGTAAACGACACTTATGTGGTCTCATGGAGATTAAAGCTCATTTTGAGCTGTGAGGATGTATCCATCTAATGGTGCTTTAGCTCATCTGTGTTCTGAAGGACGCTTAGGAGATCCAGGGCAGTTTGGAGATGTCTTCTGGTGGGTCTTCACTAGGTTCTGTGATTGCTGGATAGTCCTCAAGTGGTCTTAAGGCCAGACCCAATTCTATTCTCCATTCAATTATCCAAAGGCATTCTAGGATAGTCTAGACTCCTGTGAACTTGAGGGAATCTTTGGGGGCCAATGTTCACTTGGTAGGCTGAAATACTGATATCAGAATTTGGTATTTTGTTAGCAGCTAAGTCAAGAAAATTTGCTCTGATGTGATAAAGGATGAGAAAGTGCAAAATGATGAAAAAAATTGCAAAAAAAATCATTGGTATGAAAGTGGAAAAGAAGACAATAAGTTTTCTTTGATTATTATTTAATTATGCTCAATATTACACCCAGCCATGCTTTTACACTTTAAGACTAGAAAGATGAAGTCATCTTGGCATTGCTTAACTGACAACAGTCTTTAACATATAATCAGGGAGTCTGAATCTCAAACCACTGGGGAAAGGCAAGAGGAAGAGGTATTATTGTCTTCATCAGATAATGTCACCAATTCCATAACCATTTAGGAATTTTATTTAGGTAGTAGTACACATACACAACAAGCTTGTATGGTATACAACACACATATGCACAAAATGGTGTTGAAGAGGAGTGTACAGGAATCTCTTTGTCTATGGTGGGACTCACTTCTAATTTTAACAAAGAAGTACAGAACAGCAGACATTCACACTTCTAAAAATCTGAATTGTTTAATATTTCAAATTCATGTTAAAAACTATAATCAAATAATTCACTATTTTAATGATTTGGGAAGCATTTCATGTTCAATTTTATTTGGTCCATTTTTTTTTTTTAATCTCCAAGAGCAATAACAAAATGCAAAACCTGAGTGAACCTCTTCTGGGTCAGTAATTTTCCATAACTATATTTTCTCAGAGAGGCCTAATACTAACCTTTGTATAATAGTAAGAGTCACAGACTACAAAGCATTGGATGTTCTGTATTGGCTGCAACTCCTTGTGTCTGTCTATGGTCTTCTCTTTTTGGTTTTTGCCCTCTCTTTGTGTGGCTTTATGCACATGCGTTACATCCATGCACAGGGAATCGGGGAAAAGGAGCAGTGGGGAGACATGGGAAGGTGGTAAGAATATGAAAGAGGAAAGAGAAATATTAAGTGCTCCTAAAGCAAAGATTCTTACAAGCAGGGGTTCTTGTAGTAAAGGGAGTCTCCTTACTGTCATCTAAAAAGTCTTCCTCCTCATCCTCCTTTCTCAGTCTCCTCTTGGTTTCCTCATCATAAATGAGACCCAGAAGGTTGGCGGGGCTTTCACTTTCCCCATGGCACAGCTCATTCAACCGGATGCCAATTGCCTAGCATGGGAGAAAAAGAGTGAAACAGCACAAAGCATGTCAGACTGAAAAATAGGCCTTCACATTACAGAGGCCATAAGCAACTGTTAATGGGAAGGTATATATCATCTAGTAGGGCATATTAAACAAAGAGATTGACACTGATACATAAGCCTCCTCTATATGCCAATGTGCTGTACTCACCATGTTTCTTTATGTAGAAACCCAGGGGTGGATGGCATTGACACTATCTCCAAGGTCATTTAGTCTGAAGACTTGTAGGAACTGGAACAAAACCTTTGTGTTCTCATACAAATTTTTTTTTCTGAATATATTTCCACTTACTTGATGGACATTTATTTCATAGGTCTCATATAAGGGAGTGCAAAGTTGTTTTTAATGGAGGATTTTGTTGTAGTAAAAAAAAAAGAACTCTCAGTTCCTCAGAGTGCTTCTGATTATGCTATTTTATGAGAATGTCACTGCCATGCTAATGAGTTTGGAGGTTGGCAAGAATTCTAGTACAGCAATTTTATTTATATCTGGCATTATGTACAAAGTAATATCTTTTTTATAGACTCTGTTCTCCCACTCCATGATAGTCTATGAATGAATAAGAGACACTAACTATTCCTTTGGTAGAGTACCCAACATCAACATGGAACCAGTACCTGCTATCTGTTCTTCTGAATCATCATGCACTATTGTCTGATTTGCCAAAATGAATTTTCCACAAGAAGAGACAAAATACACCACCTCTATCTAATTCTTTTTATGTTCCAATTACATACTGTGTACAATAAAAGACACGTGCTTAGGAAGGAGAGTCAAAAGCTAAAATGAGCACTGAACTTGGGGTTTGACAGTCTATGCATTCATAGGTATAAATTCCAACTAATTTTCTTCTTCCTTCTGGTATTACTTCTTTCAAATATTCAGAAAGGTTGCTAAATTCTGGGCATGCAAGAAATTAGACAAAGTACTACAAATTGATGAGGATACGTCCAAAACTCTTTAAATAAAAACGCAAGTCGTTTGAATGTCTTGACTATCTGGAAAGAAAAAGCTCTCCTTAAACTCTGGAATTAAGTGACAAGTAACAAAAACTATATCAATGGGAAGGAAAGCATTGTAAAAAGGTGTCATGGCATCCTAAAAGTTTAGTCACTAACCTGAGAAGTTTTAAGCAAACAAAGAAAAACATTAAAAATAAAAACCACTACCTCAACAAAAAGCCTTGTCCTGATGCCACTATTTGGAGATCCTCTCTAAAGAAGGAGACATGCAATTATGAGTCTGGAATGGAGCCAACAAACTTAATGGTGAAATTCAAAGGGGGAAAAATCTACATGGATCTTTCCAGGATGTTGACACTAAACAATTTAAGTTAAATCCACAATTCAGGGGCGCCTGGGTGGCGCAGTCGGTTAAGCGTCCGACTTCAGCCAGGTCACGATCTCGCGGTCCGTGGGTTCGAGCCCCGCGTCGGGCTCTGGGCTGATGGCTCAGAGCCTGGAGCCTGTTTCCGATTCTGTGTCTCCCTCTCTCTCTGCCCCTCCCCCGTTCATGCTCTGTCTCTCTCTGTCCCAAAAATAAATAAAAAGTTGAAAAAAAAATCCACAATTCAGAAAGCTTAAAGAGTTGCTCAGAAAATGAACTTGCCTTGGATAACACTAAATGTCTAGATAATAATTTAGAGCTCTTTGTCTCTTACAAGGCTAGAAAAATGCCTTAGGGATAGGTTTGTTCCTTTTTTTTTTCATCAAATATTTATTAAGTGAGGTAATTTGTTAGGGAGTAAATAACACATAGAGTTGAATAAATTGTTACAGTATGCCAGTATCTTTGCTGAATGTGCCCTAGTAGATTACAAGCCTTCATCTAGAAGGGTCACTGTTTGGCAACTGGGAAGGTGAGGGAGGTTGAAAGACTTGCTGAAGGTTGTTCAGCAAGCCATGGTCTGAGATCCAAGCATAGGGTATCTGTCTTTTGCTCTTCCCCTCAAGGAGCTTACAGTCTCCTGGGGGAGGCAACAACACATCAAAATAACACATTAACTGATGAAAGAGACAAAAAGTATTTTATTAGTTCAGGAGATGGACAGATTAGATTCAGTTCAGAGAATCATACAGTGTCTCTTTTCTGTAGATTTCTGTAGATGTTGAAGAATTGGTGTTTGGGCTAATGGAGAAGAAGAGGAGTGGATACTCCAGGTAGGGAGTTCCAAAAGATCTGTCAAGGAAGTGCATGGATCTGTTCAGAGACTGACAAGTAAGCCACTTGGCTGAAGCACAATTTTGTGAGAGACAAACATGTGCAGGAAGGCTGGGAGGGTAGATTGGGCCTAGATCTATAGTTCTTGAAGCTGAACCTCATTTTGTATTCTGAAGAATGATGAAAGGCAATGTGTGAATGGGGGAGAACCCTTACTCTTTTGAGAGACTCTGTGTTAACTGCCTAGAAATGCACAAACCGTGTATCCTGCTTTCAGAAATTAATGTAATAACTTATTATTACTGAACACCTGTTAGACACAAAGGATTGAGATAAATGTTCTTTTAGATACATTAGGTCATTTGACTTCATCATCCATAATCTTGCTGTAGTTTGAATAAAGGCTGTGGAGAGAGCAGTGATGTCAGGCTAAGCAATTTGGGTTTTATCCCAAGGGAAAAGGAAGGCCACTGAAGCATTGTAAGTTGGTAAGAAACACAATCTGATTTGCATTTTAGCCTAATCACTGTGAGAGCAGTTTGGAGAATGAATTAGAGAGGGTAAATCTGGAAGCCGGGAGATAAGTATGAATGTTCTACTTTCAGATGGGCTCTGCCATTTGGAGATCATTTTGTTGGCAGTGTGTAGAATGGGTCAGATGAGGGGAGATTGTGGGAAGAAGACCAAATCAGAAAATATTTTAGCCATCCAGATGAAAAAGAACAAAGATGTGACCTAAAAGGACATCAGTGACATGGAAGAGGTGGAATCAATAAGGGAAGGAAGGATGGAATATGTTCAAAGGCTGTCATCTTAGATAAATGGTGTTACCATTTATAAGAATAGAAAGTTCAGGAAAGGTTGCAGATGAGGGTGTATTTATATTGGAAGAAGAGTTTTATTTTGGTCAGATTGTGTTTCAGGGTATTGAGTGAATGCTTCCAGAGTACAGTTGGTAATGCTGGCCTGGGATCTGAACAGTACTATGGATAGAGAAGTCTATGCTACTGGCATATAGGTTACAGTTAAAAATACAGGAATAAATGTACTCCTGGGGGAGGTTATGCAGGAAAAAACTATAATAAATTCTGGGAATGTCTATATTTATAGGGGGGAAGGAGGCAGGGGACCAAGGAAGGAGACAGGAAATAATGTCTAACTTCATAGATATATTGAGAACATTAAATGAATTAAGTTTATCTTCCCCTAAAATGTTTTTTTTTCAGTGCATGGTACATAACAGATACTCAATAAATTGTCTCACAAACAAACAAACAAACAAAAACATAGAACTTCTTCACTTCACCCAAGCACCTGAATTTTTATATAAGAAAATCGTAAGCTCACGTCTCCCCATTGGTAGAAGAGCTTGGCAGCATTCCACTGTAGCTTCTGGTTCCGTTTGTTGCCCACAATGGGAGAGCGTCCCCTGGAAAGGCCTTTCTTCGTGATATTCACGTGATGCCCTTTCATCCACTCTGGCCAGTTGCCGCGGTTGCAGCGGTGAACAAAACGGGCACATTCCAGAAACAGAGCTGCTCTGGCTACCACAGGAGCTTCCTGAGGACGGTTGTGGAGGAAAGAATGATGTTGGATTAATGAGCAATAGGCCGACCTTAAAGGGAATTACTAAGTACTCTTAGTTTATTTTAGTCTCCATGTCTTGATTTAGGTTAGTCATATTTCCCAGAGTGCAGACTGGTAGTAGCATGGTTAACAGTAGTGGGAATTCTGGAAAATGAATCTTTGAAGGCAAATTTGCATACTGAAGAATTAGACATTTTAAGTAGATTTCTGTGTTTAGCTTTCCCCTTTTGAAGAATCTCAAGTAATTTTATGACTTTATCATTGCATATTTAAGAGGCAGCTGGGATTTGCATAGGAGAGTGAGGTAATGTTCAAAGGAGTTTTTTAATATGAAGCTTTTGTTAAACCTAAAATTTTAACCCAAGGCAAACAAATATTCAATTTCTAGAACTAGTCTTATGTTAATCAAGGGAATCAATAGTGATCTTGTTCCAATGATAATGTTATCTATGACCATCCACACACTCCAAAGAAGTACAACTGTTCCTGCGCATTTTGGCTAGTAAGAAAAGGAAGTGCTTATTAGATTTTGTTGAGTTAGTCTTTTGTCCCCCTTACTTTGTGATGAATAACAGATAAAATTCTGCTTAAATGGGCATGGTTTCAATTGAAAATGTTTGACAAAGAGGAAATTATTCAATTGATAAATGAAAAACAGAGCATTTATTCAAAAAAGAAATATGGTTCCATCTTGTCATGTCAAGATGTGCTTAAAAAAAAAGAAAAGAAGAAACAACTTTCAGTTAATACCAAGAAACTAGTAAGGATCATCTACCTACTGAAATCTTCACAAGCTAAAATAAATTAAATAAATAAATAAATAAATAAATAAATAAATAAATAAAGGAACATTCCCATAGAAGGTCCACAGGTAACAAAAAGTACATACATCAACAATGTGTATATTTAACTTGAGCCAGTTTAAAAAAATACATCACAATACTGGCCATCAACTCAGAGTTACCTAATAGCCATAAGCTGATTAGTAACCAATGCTTTTCAACATTTCAAACAATAATATTCTTAATGATTCATTAATCCACAATATTAAAATAGGGGCTAATATATAGAGAGTATCAATTATATGTTGATTAGCTTTTATGAGTCATCATTCTGAATAATAATAACAAACCTCTAGACTAGAAATAATATCCTCATTTCAATGTTTTTAAAAATGAGGCATAAATTTTCTACGATCATACAGCTGGGAAGAGGTGAACACAGGATTCAATACCAGGCCTTTCTAATGTACAAATTGTTGCTAGTTCCTCTTTGGTACCTGCATTGTCTTAATATATACACAGATAAATCTTGACAAAGATGATTTCTAGAATGTGTATAGAAAGTCATTTTTTTTAAATGGGGCATTAAAGTCATGTAACGTTACTCTCTAAAACACAAATATATGATCATATCATTTTCCTATTTAAAATTTATTATAGGCTCCATCCATCTCAATCATAACACGAATAAAGATACTCAACCTTTGTTATCTGGTTCATCTCCCTTTCTATCTCTGTATCAAGTACTCTATGGTCTAACTATATCGAACAGGTTACAGTCCCTTAAATATGACATCTTACACCTTTTCACATGTTGTTTCCATGATTTGTGGAGCTGTTAAGCCTTTTTCCCATCTTGTAAATTCCCACTTTTACTAATAAGTTTAGTTACTTCCTCTAAGAAGCTTTTCTTAATGTTTCTCCTCTTAGGCAGAGTTGGTTACTTCATTCTTTGAATACCACAGTATCTCAAACACACTTAATGATTCTAGTAAGTTAGCCCTTTAAGCATTTTCTCATTGTCCACAACTTAAAGGAAGCCATCAAGAGTTCTGATAAGAAATATATTTATGTAGGAACTTAATATCACAAAGCATATGATGCATCGATACTACATGCAAAGTTAACCTATGCGGAAAGGTAGAGTACAGATGAACATTAATGGTGAGAACCTATCATTAAAAAAAAAAGTGGACACTAATGATGAAAATCTATCATCCACTGCATTGGTGCCAAGATTTGGTAGTAGGTCACAGGAATAGAAAGATGAGATTGAGAGGGTCAAATGATTTTCTGCGTTAAACCTATCAGTATTGGGGTACCATAACATACAGATTAAACGTCTATGCTCTTTTCTTGTATTAAATATTTATTTTACTACATATCTCAGATATGCTAATCTGTGTCTGGAAAAGGCTTGAACATCTGTTTGTAAAAATGGATGGCAGTCTGGAAGGCAAGGTGAGTCATGTGAATTTGTTGTCAACCCATCAAATTTTGACACATTCCCAATATAAAGCAGTGGGATTCATTGCTTAATGACAGGAAGACAGAACCACTGTTAGGGTGGCATTATGTTGTAAACCCTGGCTCCTACAGAATTACCAAGGTCGAAAATTAGCCTAACTCAAATGTATGGGGCAGAGGATCTTTTTATTGCCCTTAACTATTAGATGACACTGAAAAGATTAATAATAGATGAATGAAAAATCCAAATTGTGCTTTGTGGTTTTTCCTATGTACATTGGCTTGCCTCCTTCAGAAGAAAGCTTAGAAAGCTCAGGGCATTTGGAATGAAAAGCAATTTTGATTTTCTGTTCACAAAAACTAGTTATAATAAAACTCAGATATTACCAGTTATCAGCCCTAGGAAATCCTAATCTAAAGTTTGGAAATGGAATCGAGATCATTATGAAAATAATTCCCATTAACTATATAGCACAACATGAAAAGGAGGGTTGATTATTATCTGATGAATTTGATCCATGTTAACTGTAAAAGTAGGTAACTTTTGGAAATGTCACTATCTGCATTAAGGGATGAGGACATAGAGTAACTCAAACATTGCCTTTTAATTATAATTCTCATCAACCTGGTGGATGAAAGCAGACTTGAAATACTATAGTCAAGATGACACTGAATAATACCACTTTCTGGGGGTATTGTAGTATGTATCTTACTATACAGACAATTGAGGAAGTTGTTGAGGACTCTACAAAGCTAAGGACTCTACTGTGCATCCTGGTAGAAGATGCTTAGCATTAAGTACTGACTTCACAACGTGTATGAAAGAGCTTTCAAGGCATTTTAGGTGGGGTGTGGCTATAGGGAATTATTTTCCTTATAAATTCCTTTCAGAGTATAGTTTAGAAAGTATTGATTTTAGAGGCAGAGTTCTAGAATACCTTGGACAAAAAGAATTCTTCCTGGACATAGAGAAGAGTCAATTTTTCCTCTTTTTGATAGAGCTTACCTCTTACAGTTCAGCGCAATCTGAAGAAGCAGCAAAAAATGGAGACATGACAGAATGGATAGGGATGGACTCACATCACACAGAACAACAGCACAAATGGAGAAAAATGAATCAGAAGAACGCTGCATGGATGAAAACCACAGAGTATCAGAGCATAGTCAAAAGTGAACATCTAAACAAAATTTGATACCATTGGTATACCACAGAGAATTTTTACTGGTGGTCCTGAAAGAAAAGTAGGCGTATTTAAATTTCTGTCTTATTAGCATGTCTGCTAGATTACCTTTCTATGTTTTGTAATGCCAAAGAGTAGCTTCAATTCAATTGTTGCATAACCTTATAGTCCTAGACAAGGCAGGAACCAATTTTAACTGGGAAGATTAGATTAACCTAAAATATTCAGTGAAATCTTATGGAATTTATAAGTTTGAAGGTCAAAAATAGTTGAATACTAACAATTTCACATGGTTCACTCTTATATAAGGTGTTCTCTGCAATGACTACAAAGCTATTTAGTTAGAGCTACAAAATGTCATAAGAATGTCATTATGCAGCACGGATTTCTCTAACATTCTATGACTAGAAAACTTCAAGGGTTGGCTGCTTCTCCTTGACTTCCTTTGTCACTTTTCCTGCATTTTATAAGATCATTATGTATATTGAATGTTTCCTTTATGAAAGTGAAGGAGAGAATTGGAACACTAATTCAAGCAGCTGTGCTTTATTTTGCCTGGGGACTTAGAAAATATTGTTACCAAGATATGATGGTTAATTGAAGGTTATAATTGCAATACATTTCTTTCCCTGAAGGACTATATCTAAACTTATTATGTGAGAAGAAACCTAACTGATTCTGAAAACTCATATAAAAAACACTGGACAGGAACTAACTGTTTTAAAAGACTGAATATTTTATGTTGGCCCCTGGGGAATTACATAATATTTTTATTGCCTTACAATAAAATATAAAGCTCTTGCTGGCATAGGGTACCTATTTATTTAAAACCAATGGGAATAAGCAGTTATTGTGGGTTCTAATGTGCATTGGAACCTCGTTTGCTAGAGGATATGTGCTTGTGAGTCAGTATTTATTACTTAGCCTATATTGAATTCTCTGCCTGACTGAGATCAGTAAGTAACTGACAGGCTGTCTCTGCCCTTGCTCATTTCCACAGTAGCTGTGGGCAACTGAAATCATTTGGTTATCAGGCTAGAGGCAGGCATTATATTTTAGTACATGGTCTAGATGGCTAGTCATTTTAACAGTTACTCATATCACACTAAAATTTTGGGTATTATAAAAACTAAATAAAGTCTTCTGTTTCTGACAATCTGATGGATTACGTGTAGAAACAAACTTCCTTTGGTTTAGACTTCTAAAAATACTGGATAAAATATCCCCCAAAGTTTTCATTTTGTCTTTCTTTTGTTTCTAACATGAGATAATAGACTGCTGGAGAGAAGAAATTACAAGAAAGTATTATTTTGGGTGGGGGAAAGAAAGGGGTGAGAGCAAGCATAGGAATAATTACCCTGAGGGTTTCTACTGACTGTGGAGAGGCCAGACCCTGGGTTTTCAATGGGCCATGAGTTAAATGTCTGGGCCCAAGCAGAGTGGGAGGAAAGTTCATTCATTCCTACATAAAGCCAAGATCCCAGGTGTGACTTATGTTCAGTGAATGAATAAGAAAAAGATCTACCCCGCAGAAGTAGGTTTG